GAAATACTCAGACCGGCCCGTCTGGCACCAACAACCATGCCACGCTCAATATTGCTTATATCACCTTTCTTTCCCATACTGACATTCAGTTTGGAGTTCAGGAGATTGTCTTGACCAGGACCACACCCCTAAATGTATTGAAGCAACTGCCATGTGATTGGTTGATTAGATAATTGCATTAATGAGAAATTGAACAGGTGTTCCTAATAATCCTTTAGGTGAGTGTATATTTGTCAAAGACGAAGCTTCATTAGAAATGAGTTGGCATGTTACTTGTGTCCTCTACAGTGAATACCCATGCTAAACAATCATTAAACATTAATTATATACAATTTAATTTTCAATTAAACAACCATTACTATCCTGCAGATTAGTGATTTCAGCTTTTAGAGGTCTTTTGGAATTAAAATATTGGAAGAAATTTTAATGTCATCCTTAGCAGAGCATGTGAGCGGAGCGGGCGAAATTTGGTCAGAGTGCGGAGCGGTTTTTTAATTAAGTCTGGAGCGGTCACTCTATCTCGCTCCAATTTCGCTCCGATTCCGCTCACACTACGACTCTGAGGCGTGCGCATATCTTCCCAGAATTCATCTATACAATTATCAAGATTTATATCCGCTTTGTAATCTAAAAAGACCTTTCTCGGAAACATGAGTGTGCTAAGCGAACACGCGGAGGCCAGAGCAAAACGTGAGCAAGTTTTATATGGTTGTAGCATATCAAGTCTATAAAGTAAATAAAAGAATAAAAGCCTATAATTTGGTAATCAAATAAATTAGTTTGTCATTCAAATTAGGTCTAATAGAATTTTTTAAATTCACGTAACGCTGTCAGTAAAATTTTATTTTATAGAGAGAGACGCAGCAGCAGCATCAACAGAAAATAACTGAGGAATTTAAAACGTGGATGCGCTTAGCCTGTATATTCTTTAGGCTATTAAGCCCACCGATTCCTTTATTTTTAAACCTATTTTTGTGTGGAATGCCATTGCCAAACTTGTCCATTGTTGCCTATATGTTGTTTAAAAATAAATATTTTCTGTTCTGAGTGCCGTTGCTCACATTTCTTTATGATATAAGGCATCGGTTTATGGTGATATTTGTTAGGCATGCAGATTATTTGTCCCTCTTTTAAATTGGAGCGAGCGTGGAGTGATTTGACTGGAGCGGGAGGAAATTTTAGTGGAGCGAGGAGCGGTGTTGAGCGGAGTGTGAATTAGAGCGGAGGAGCGGGCGGAGTCAACAGCCTCGTGAGCGAGGAGCGGGAATTCTCACCTCTCCACTCCGCTCACATGCTCTGATCCTTAGCCTCCAATGCAATCTTTCTTTCGACATTCCTCTCATGGAGTCTAATATTGTTTTTTAACTCAACCTGTACACTTAGGTAGTCCTGCTTTATTCCAAAATCACTAGATATTGTCCATTTGTGGAACACAGCCCTTTTCCTCCTGACTACAGTCTTAATTTCAGTAGTGAACCACCTTGGTTGCAGTTTCCTAGATTCTCTTCAACAATTTTTGCTTTTTAACTCCATCCAGTTTGTAGTTTCTAGTTTGTCTCATACCATTAAAGTTAGCCAGTAATGTCCTGCATCTGCTCTGTCTCTCAGCTGCCACCAACCTGGAGAAACTGAAGCTGTTCCGGCATTACTATGTGATGGTAAGTACAGGTGTTGCCGTGCGATGGCGAGTCCATCCAGGGCGCCATACAAGCTACAACTGCCATTGGTGTCCATAACCAAAAGTATCATGATATGACATTTTGCCCACCTCCCCACTCAGTTTCCATCAATAGTCATGTCACCCGTCCCTCACCAAAACATTAAATTTGCAGTGTATTAGATGTGTGAACAAGGAGTTACATAATTCATGTACATCTGGACTTATGTATAATGTTGGTAATGTATGTATAATTTATGTATATATAATTTATATATAATGTATATCAAATTTATGTATGTAGAATTTATGTATAATGTATGTACAATCTAATAATATTCCCCCCCTCCACCTCCCCTGTCCCCCCATGTCTCGTATGTTCTGGTGAAGCTGCAACTTTCTTGTCATTTACACATGTGCCTGCACATTGTGTCAATGACAATAAAAAATAAATTGAATTGAATTTTGTTTCTAAATGTATAATACATAATACAAAGTTTTGTTTTGTTATATGTTCAACTTTCTGAGAACTGCAATATTGTATCTGGCCATGTAGAGGTGCATTACTTAATACAGCCCTCCAGTGAACATAGTGAAAAGTGCAGTTAAGCCAGTGACAGAATGTGCTAAAAAGGGTCATTTACATGAGATGCCCATATTTTGGTGTTTCTCCACCCAAAGCGTGTATATCTGTAAATCGTTTAAGTGCACAAAAACATTGCATTTCAGTCAAGAATATGCTTTAGTCAAAAAAGTGTGCAGCTCCCAGCTATTTGGACGTAAGTGCATGTAAGAATCGACCCCTAAGTGAATTGGAGTGCCTACACTGACCGTATATGTGACTGAGTGTGCATCCTGCAGTGGTTGGTTGGTTGGTTTCTACCCCGTGGCAATTGTAACGTGTGTGTATATATATATATATATATATATATATATATATATATATATATATATATACAGTATATATATATATAGTACTCAAAGAATCGTCTCGACAGCCCTAATTGAAATTGTCCATTCATGCTGGTTTTTTCCTCAATGGCTCCGCAGATCATCTGCTACATCTACTTCACGCGGATCATTGCCATCTTCCTGAAGGTCACAATGCCTTTCCATTTGCAGTGGCTTTGTGAGGTGAGCAGGCCGCTGTGACTGAGTTACGTGATCAGCTGACTATTAAGGTCCCTGGCAGGGTGAAAGATGTCATGCATCCTGACAATGAAGTGTAAGGGTTTCATCACCAAGCATATTATTGTCCTGACTGTTTTTGATATAACCTACCTTGTGGGTTTTGTCTGTGCATCTACAGTTCCTAGTGGAGGTCTCCACCTTTGTGTTCTTCGTGTTGACGGGGTACAAGTTCCGCCCTGCGTCAAACAATCCCTACCTGCAGCTGCCCCAAGATGAGGAGGATGTGGAAACAGATGAAGTGTGAGTTTTGCTTTGAGGTCTGTCCAGTGCTGGTTAGATAATATCCAATAGAATTAGTACTTGCTTTGAATAATGTTACTGTTAATACAAGTAACACAGCAAAACTTCAGGTTGACATATTTTCTGTTTCCAAATAGGCAGAGTGTCTGCTTTAACCTGGACTTGTATCCATGCCATCCACTCCTCTTACAGTATTGTCTCACTAGTGCAAAGAAATGTACTCCTCTGTCATTTACATTCAGAGGTGGATAGTTCAGATCCAGAAAGTAAAAATCCAGACCAAGATTTTTTTTTTCAACTAGCTAGTTCTCCAAGGCTGTGAATCATCATTCTATACTAGTTGGTTGAAATAAAATCTTGGTCTGGATTTTTACTTTCTGGACCTGAACTATCCACCTCTGATTGCATTCTAGCTGGTATTTTCAAAGGCAACATTACTCTAGTATTGGGGGGGGGTCCTCCCCCCACAATAAAATTTGCTGAATTAAAATTCCGCAGTATACCCATACTATTGCTACACCATCTGTCATGCCCTTTTTCGCTCAACTCTGAGGAGACACTGGGTATTTTTTCACATACTGTTATTGTCAGTAAAACTTTGGAGAAAGTCGTTTTATCTCAATTATTGCCCTTTTTGTCAGCTTCGGGGTCCATCCTAGGTCCCAC